TTAAGGTTTTTACTTACTGTCTCGTTGTGATAGACCTTAACCAGTCTGTGAGGCAAAGGCTGTGGAAAGACTTGTTGCAGCTGATGTTTTCGCAGGTGTAGTCTGTTCGTGTCCCACTTCTAGCTCCGAGTTCCTCATCTTTGTTAAAGTAAAAAGGTAAGTTAGTGAATTGTTATCAGCAAGTTATTACTCTGAAGCACTGTTTATTCTTTAGGTTTGAGAAATCACCGGTGGGTAGAAACTGCGCATAGCAAATTCCGCATTCAATTTGTTGATGATCGTCTTCTGCTTGGAGATTCATAGGCTTTGGAAGCTCCATACCTAAAATACATTCGAGGTTCTCAGGGAATGATTTTTCCTTTGACCTGTGTGATTATATTTAAATGTGATTCATGCTTTCAACAATCCATAAAAAACTCAATTATCGAACTGGNAGAGAATAGAAAAAAGATTTTACCATTTTTTGTTATTTCTTCTCCATATCATATATAAGTTGTTCATATGCACAGGACCAATAAACCGGCACCTGTCAAAGCAATTCACTATTGGATAATGTCAGAAAATGAGAATGTTATCGAGTGTGTGTATGGCTAGAAGAAACATACTCTGGTAGGGAATTAGGGTCATCGAAGTTGATATGAACAATGACGATGCAATCATTTCCTGAGAAAAATGAACCAAGTAGATAGACAAAAGTGAATCGTTATAACACATAAGAATTAAAAGAGGATAGAGAAAACAAAACAGAGTTAAAAGGTGGTAAACCAGCATGAATCCGACGGACAGGAGAAGCACGAGACGGTTGCTTAGTATCAACAACACAAAGTGATTTGTCGATATCATCCAAGACAGACCAAAATTCTTGAAGATTGTCCAGATGCTGTCAACAAAAAAAAACTCGATGTATGCGTGTTTCTGATATATGATTACTAAGAGAGAATGTAGCAATTCTTATAGCCTACCTTTTGGAATTGGTACATCACATCCTTCAATCCTGAGCTTGTTGACCATTCTAGAGTAAACATATATGGCACATCCTGCGTCAAGCAAGTCTTAACCCGGCAATGTCGAAAAAAACAACGCTAAGTAACATAACGAAGCAAGAACAAACCGCGGAAACAGAAGGTGGGGATTGAGGATAGTCTCTATCAAGTTGAATTTCTAAAATGTGTGCTCTTCGCTTCTTATCTCTGTACA